AGAGAGTTAAAACATCACATCCACACAATCTATAATAATGTTGACTTTTTTTTCTCAATAAACACAAAATTATATTCTAACATTTTAACATCAAAGATCATTTGATTTTAATACATTATACTCAACTGCACCAATGATAACAAAATCTCTCTCTCTCTCTCTCTCTCTCTCTCTCTCTCTCTCTCATTGCACGGCTTTCCCCGCCGCTGAGAGTTAAATTACAACCATTTATCTACATTAAGCAACACGACGTTTAAATCATCCCGGCCACCTAGCCTACACTCCAGCATTGAATCTTCCCGCGTTGAAAATCTTCCAGCATTGATTTGGCGACCCTACGGCGTTGAGATTCCACCCCCCTCCCCCTCCCTCCCTCATTTAACGACACCAATACCAGCGTTGAATTGCCTTGTTCTTCAATTGGCGACTCAAAATCGGCGTTGAAACCCCCCCACCCCCCAAATTGGCGAACTCAACGCCTATCACAGTTAAATGGGAAAATAGTCGTTCTAACCGATCTATTTCATCACTAATACAGGTAATAATCGTTCAGTGTTATTTACCTGTTGAGCAGTATATTTCGCCACACTAATTAGTCAGTCCATGGCATATTACTTATTAATCCATCAAAGCCAATCATTTCAATGGTAATATTACGATGTAGTGGTCTAATAGGTCAATGAAGGTCACACTGTCATCACCCTGTAACACTGTCATCACTATCTTACACTGTCACCACCCTATAACACTGTCATCACTATCTTACACTGTCACCACCCTATAACACTGTAATCACTATCTTACACTGTCACCACCCTATAACACTGTCATCACTATCTTACACTGTCATCACCCTGTAACACTGTCATCACTATCTTACACTGTCATCACCCTGTAACACTGTCATCACTATCTTACACTGTCATCACCCTGTAACACTGTCATCACTATCTTACACTGTCACCACCCTGTAACACCCGTAATCACCTTTAAAAAATAAAATGATAGTTAATAAACAAAAAATATTACAAAACCATATTAATTTCCACCTAATATACAGAATATAATGGGCGGAATACACTCATATGTTTTTCTAATCACCGCTGGGAATTGTACGGATAATTCTCATTCTGTTAAATTTTCGCTGAAGTGGATTGGTTGGGTTTGAGTGGGTTGGGATGGGTTTGAGTGGGTTGGGATGGAGTTTGAGTGGGTTGGGTTGGGTTTGGAGTGGAGTTGGGTTGGGTTTGGTGGGTTGGGTTGGGTTTGACTGGGTTGGGTTGTTGCTGGGTTGGGGTTTGACTGGGTTTGGGTTGGGTTTGACTGGGTTGGGTTGGGTTTGAGTGGGTTGCACGTTGGGTTTGAGTGGGTTGGGTTGTGTTTGAGTGGGTTGGGTTGGGTTTGAGTGGTTGGGTTGGGTTTAGTGGGTTGGGTTGGGTTTGAGTGGGTTTGGTTGGGTTTGAGTGGGTTGGGTTGGGTTTGAGTGGGTTGGTTGGATTTGAGTGGGTTGGGTTGGGTTTGATTGGGTTGGGTTGGGTTTGACTGGGTTGGGCTGGGTTGGGTTGGGTTTGAGGTGGGTTGGGTTGGGTTTGAGGGGGATGGGTTTGGTGGGTTGGGGGGTTTGAGTGGGTTTTGAGTTGGGTTGGGTGGGTTTAGTTTGTTGGTTTGAGGGTTGGGTTGGTTTGAGGGTTGGGTTGGGTTGGGTTGACTGGGTTGGGTTGGGTTTGAGTGGGTTGCGTTGGGGGTTTGAGTGGGTTGCTGGTTTGACTGTTTTTGGTTTGACTGTGACTGGCTTTGGCTGGAGTGGGTTGTTGGTTTGGAGGTGGGTTGGGTTGGGTTTGAGTGGGTTGGGTTGGGTTTGAGGGCGGTTTGGGTTTGGTTGGAGTTTGGGTTGGCTTGAGTTGGGTTGGGTTTGGGTTGGCTACCAGACTGTTGGGTTGGTTGTTGGGTTGAGGGTTGGGCTGGTTTGGAGGTTGGGTTGAGGTTAATAATTATGGGTTGGGTTACTTGGGGTTGGGTTAGGGTTTGGGTTGGCTTGACTGCTGGGTTGGGTTTGACTTGGGTTGGGTTTGACTGGCTTCTAAGGGTTGTTGGGCTTGCGTTGGGTTTGAGGTACAGTTGGTTGGGTTGGGTTTGGGTTTGAGGCCAGCTGGGTTGGGTTGAGGTTAGTGGGTTGGGTTGGGTTTGAGTGGGTTGGGTTGGGTTTGAGTGGGTTGGCTTGGGTTTGAGTGGGTTATTGGCTTGAGGTTTGGGGGTTGGGTTGGGTTTGAGTGGGTTGGGTTGGGTTTGAGTGGGTTGGGTTGGGTTTGACTGGGTTGGGTTGGGTTTCTCTATATTTGTCCATACGATAAAGTCAGCCTTTTCTAAAATCCAAACTCACTTACTAATTGACTCGCTTATCCGAAATCAAATTATAAACCGGACTCCCTCACTTATCCGGAATAAAATATAAACCGGACTCCCTCGCTTATCCGGAATAATAAACAAATACATTTCCTAATATCAAAATTGACTCGTTGGTTTAGGTCCAAATAATCCGTTCCTAGTGAAGCACAAATCAGCTGTCAGGAAGCTTAGCAGGTGTGCCGGTGTGAGCAATATTGTCGGTGACCATGAAGGAAGGAAGGAAGGAACTTAGGAAGGAAGGAAGGAAGGAAGGAAGGAAGGAAAGAAGGAAGGAAGGAAGAAAAAAAAAAGAAACATTTCATTTGAGTGAAGTCGACGCTTATTGCTTCCTCTGGTCGACCTAGATCACATAACCTCGAGGCCCACCCACCTGACCATCCGAGCCAGATCCTACACGAAGAACAACTTGATGAGATGAACAACTTTGGAACAACTTTATATTGGAACAACCTAAGGGATTGGGTGGTGTGGGGGGTGGGGGGTGGGGTGGGAAGTGGGGTGGGAGTCAATTTATCACTGTATTAAACTAGGTCTCTTAATTATCAATCCCTCCCCTCCCTCCTTTCCCCACCCTCCTCTTCCCTCCCTTCACCCCCTCCCCTCCCCTCACCCCCCCCCCATTCAACAGCAGTGTTTACAGTGCTGCATTATTCATTTAATTTTGTAAGGAGTTTTACCTTTCCCCCATATGTTGCTGTGTTCTGAGGCGAGGAGTGGGCGTGGCAGCTCCCATACGCTCCCACCCACACCTCCAACCCACACACCTCCAACCCACACACCTCTAACCCACACACCTCCAACTATCACCTCTTCTATCCCCTGCCTCACTTCATTTCACACCCTCCCCCACTCTTACCTTTTTCCCCCTCCCTCACCCCACCACCATTCCCCCTCCCTCTCTCCTCCCCCTCCCTCTCTCACCTCACCCTTCCCTCACCCCCTCCCTCTCCCTCACCGCCTTTCCCCTCACCATGTTTTCCTCTCATATTTCTTCACCAACTTTGTGTCAACTTCCAGAGAGTCGTGTCTCTTGCAGTCACCTCCCCTTGTTTCGCCTACCTGAAAACATCGTCGGTGCAGGCAGAAGGCAAGCGAACGTACGTCTATATGCAGCAAACAGGACGAGCAAACGTACGCCTAAGTGAATCTTCTATGTTCGTATCATAGTGGGGTGAAAGTGAACGCCAGGCACTGTTGAAAGCTCCTACTGTCGCTGTTACTTACCTGCCACCACTGTCATTGTTACTTACCTGTCATCACCTGTCAAGTCATGATACTACAGTAACGTTAT